TGGACGAGGGCAGGGGCTAGAAGGGGAGGCTGGTGGCCATTTCAGGTGGTGCAATAGTCTGGTTTGGGCTCAGGGAAGGGAAATAAGGTGGGTCTCTGTCCTCCCATGCGTGGGAGCAACGAAGAGGAACGTTGCCTTTCCTTCAGAAGTCAACTGGCGGTGGTTTTCCTTGGCCCCGTCCTGGAGTTTGGTAGCACTTTGTGGTTGGTGCCTGGCTGTGACCCATGGCAGAGATGTCATCTGTGTGAGACAGGAGGGGTATGGTGGGCTCTGTGGAGGGACTGGGGCTGCCAAGTGGCTTGATAGAAACATGAGTCACACACAACTCCAGCAAGCCCAGGCGCCGTCTTGCTCAGGATGCTGTGAGAGATGCCCTTGGCTGTTGTTTTTCTTTGATTTTTCTCTGGAACTTCTTTGGCGTAACCCCAGTTCCACGTGAAGACCATATTTCTACCCTCAGCGATGGCCTCTCTCATTCAGCTTAGCCCTAAACTTCCCCAAGCCATAAGCTGGTACCTCCAACCTTTACCTCCGTGGCCCTTGTTTCGGGCAGCGGCACGTGCCGCCTCCTGCCGCGGATGCTGCTGGGGTCTCCCGGGGCTCTGCTCGTGGTAGGTGGTAGCAGGAGCCGATGAGTCTCCTGCTGGTTTGTGGGGCCAGGGGATGGGGTGAGGTGGGATTAAAGGGAATCAGCAGAAGGTGGATGTAGAGGAGGGTCTCGGTCCTGCTGCCGCGTAGCTTGCACAGAGGGTCGAGGCAAGTGATGTGCCAGCGGGGAGGCTGGAGAGATGTTTGGGGTGGGTGTCTGCTTTGGTGCAGCGAGGTGGGTGACGCCGGGGACATCCAGTCCTCCTCTTACACCGCGGAGCTGCCGCCTTCCACCTTCAGGGCTCTGCTCCTGTCCAGAACGCTGGCGAGAGCAGAGGTTTCATCAGCAGGACCGATGCCGTTCGGATGTGTGAAAGGGGCTGTGCTGCTACAAACACCCTTACGGGAGGTTGCTCCGGATCCAGGGACCTTGGTGACAGCTCGTTTTCCCGGCCGGTGCCGGGGCTGGGCTCCTGCCCTCCTCGAGGTTTGCGGGAGCCGGTGCCTGGCTGCGTTCAGGCTGCTTTTCAGCTCCGGCGCGAGGAGAAGGCGACCTTGTCGGCGACATTTTGGGATTAAAAAGAAACTTCCCCACCCGTGGGCACGTGGCTGAGCCCCACCGACACCGCGAGAGCACGGGCCGCAGCAACCCGCTTCCCGCGTCTGTCCGTCCATCCACGCGCTCGCAGCTCTTCCTCCGGCCCTGGTACCCACTGGCCTTTCAGCTCTGTTGTGCTAGGAAAGGTCAGCACCGATATTAATCTCTAGGGTTTTTTTTTTTTTTGGCTATTTATAAAGTGTAGCTTGAACTAAAAAGCCTATTGTAGCAAATAGTAGGCTTCTTGTGTGGCATCCTTGAATAGGAGGGGTGTTATCCCATCCCCATGACAACGAGCATTTGAATTAAGAGCCGTCTACTCCGAACAATTTGCCGTCACATGGTTCAGAGGAAACACTTTGAAACCCTTGTAGTCTTTTCAATAGGCTTGATTGTTAGCGTCTCCCAAACTTAATCATTAACAGGGCTCTGCAACAGATAATTACTGTGCTTTGCATTTTTCTGCCCCGCACGTGACCGGCACAGTCCCAGGGACACAGGTCGCCGTTAGCTCTTTCTCCTCTTTGACGAGGTGGATGAGAGAAGTGGGTGATGGACTTTGGCCAGCCTAAAAAATGTGAGCAGCGGTCCCACGCGCTACGGGATGGATGGTTTGCAGGAGGGGAGGCTGAGCCCTGCTTGGAGGCAATGTCTGCCAGAGTGCCCACGTAACCCACGAGACTTTCTTTCCTTCCCTAGAAATAGCCAGCCCCCTGCCGCATTTCCTTGACCGTGCAGCAGTTGTGTACGAGGGGTTTAAAATATATGCTAACGCTTTGCTTAATTGTAGGGCTCGGCGGAGGACGAGTTGGGTGCTTGACCGTGCCGCTCGATGCCTGGAGGAGCCAGCCCTGCGATGGCAACGCCAGCTGCTCCGACATCGACAAGAGCAATATCATTGATGTATAAATATCTTGTTTGGTTGGTTGTTTTTTAAATTTCTAATGAGTTTTTATTGCCCAGGCAAGGAAACAGTCATTTTGCATCCCATGGGAAGACCACCTGCGGGATGATCCCAGCAGGACCCAACATGCCTGAGTGCAACGCTCTTCCCCCAGCCACCGTGGCCTGGTGGGAGCACTGGTGCTGCGCCGGTTCAGCCGATGGGCTCCCGGCAGTGTGGCCAGCAGGCGGGCAGCAGCCGGCTGCGGTGGAGGTGCCCCCTTGTCCTGCATTAATATGATTTGCATTGTGCGGGAGCAGGTGGCAACAACCTCATTTGCAATTTCTGTGCCTGCCACATGTCCTTTCAGAAATGACACGTTTTAACAGGGTGATAAAATAGATGGGGCCCGGCTGGCAGGGCTGCTGCCGTGAAAAGAAACAGGCTTGAAAGCCCCTCATGCATCTTCAAAATGTGCTTGGGTGGGTAAGACGTTCCCGTCCCTCCTTTGCCCAGGCAAGTGATGCTCGGGAGCAGCCCTGACTCGGTGGGTCAATAACGCAACTGGCACCCTCATACACTGCTATCCACCAAGTGACATGATTACATCTCCACTGGTTGCAGAGTATAATGTCAATTATGTCACAGTGATAGAAGCGTTTGGAGGATTTATTTCTTCTGCTTGTGGAAATAAATACCTTGCTCCTCCACACCTTTAGGAGGAATCAGGTATAGCATTATCCCATGCCAATGGTCTTTTCAGTTAATGCTATTGCTCGATTAAGGAATATTTGCGTTTTATTTTGCCTTTAGAAGGGAAACCCTGGTGACTTTTCGGTTGGATGGGTGATGCTGGGTTGGGTGTTGCTGAGGGTGGGCATCCTGCCCTGTCCTGCTCTAGGTCCCTGGCTGCAACTGCCACAAGATTTCCCTGGGTAATCTTCTCCCAGTCTTTCCCTTGGAGAAAAAGAGATTTCCTTGCCTTTGGAAAACCTCAGAAAATAGATGGGAAATAAATGCAGGATGGAGCCAGCCTGCCACCTCCAGAGCGATGGGGAGAGCGAGGCTGGGGCTTGCTCCGTTACTGCCGGGTGCTTAGAGCAGGAGAGAGCTGAATTCAACCCAGGAGGTGACAGAAATCAGAAGAATGATTTCCCCAGGAGCTACCTTTTGGTCTTTAATCTATTAAAGCCTTGCTCTTGTGATGGGCTGAGCAGTCTTGCTTCACGCCAAGCCCCAGCCTGCTGTCCAGGGATGATCGAGGGCCGGACGGCAGGTTTGCCGAAGCCCACGTGCCCACCTCTGGAAGTTGCAAAATGTCTTGGTACGTGAAAAGGGGAGGGACACAGGGAAAGGGAGGCTGTGAAGTGCTTTAAAAGCAATAAAGCATTAGTGGCAAAGTGCTGGCATGGAAGCAAAGATATTATTCCTTCAACAGGGGCCCAACAGCAGTTGTTTTGTGTGTTTGAGTGAAGAATAATGGGGTTTTACAAGAACACTTCAAAAGGGAAGCAGGGGCACTGCTGAATGCCCAGACAACACAGACAGCGGCTTTTCAGATGCAGTTGCCTAATTTTACAGCTCTTTTGTTCTCCGCTCCTAAAAAGATCTGCTGTTGCTTTTATTTTTGAATGGAAAGCACAGAAGGAAATAAGGAAAAAAAACCCCAAAACAACCCTAAACCAAAAAAAAGCCAGAACAACCTCCTTGCAACAGGCGTTCTAGACAGGAGCAAACCTCCAAGTCCTCCACCGTGCGCGGTGGGTTGGTGGGACCGCGGCTGGTTCACCATCCCCAAGGATGCTGTCTGCTGGACCTGAGCTGGCTTATTTATTTAGTGCTGGACCTGAGCTGGCTTATTTATCTAGAGCAGCAGGTTTCTGTTGGATTGGGATGGTGCTGCTGGGCTGCTACCCAGGGCAGAGGAGCTGATGGGAGCCTGAGCCCCGCAGCAGCAACCAGCTGCACGTTTGGTGTTTGCAGGGCTCAGTGTTGCCTTTCTCACCGTGCTGGGCCCTGTGCCGGCTCGTGTTTTTTGGTTTTTCACGTGCAGAGGGGCATTGAGTTGCCTTAGCTTTAAGCTGTGGTGGAGCCTCAGTGGAGCATCAGGTCCAGCTGCTGCCACTGGAAGGGAACGATGCTGGAGAAAGGGCTGGAGCTCTGCGCTTGGTGTGTTCTGGCCTGTCACGTAAGCAGTGAGTTTTTAATATTTTTTTTTTTCTAAAATAGAGGTATTTTGTCCCTTCAGGATGCAAAATCTTTGTGGGATTTGCAGAGGAATGGAGATCTGAATGTGTGGTGTGCTGGGGCTGGAGGTGGGTGCCTGGGGAGATGGGCAGGAGGGGAGGATCAGTGAGGCCAAGGAAGATGAGGGATGACGGTGCTGCCTGCCTTAGGGATGCTCAAAACTAACCTCTGCAAAGGGACCTGGGCAGCATCTGTCCTCGGGCTGGGCAGATGGGCCAGGGCGGTGTCCCAGCCCCTAACTGCCCAGCCCAATTTCCCATTGGATCTTGCCTACAATAAAATCCCCAAAAGATGGAAAAGGCGGATTGCCGTGCAGCAACGGGTTTCTTAGCAGGCAGAGTCGGCCCATAGGCAAAACCATGTTCCTCTCCTGTTTGGTGTCATCCATAAATGTTGTTATTTCTGCTTATTTGCAGAAACCAGAGCAGAAAGACCTTTGCTCCCACCATCTCCCTGTTTTGCCAATGCACAAATCGATGGTGACCCTGGGAAGGCTTTAATATTACAGGCTGATGCCAAACTTTACGTTGCCCCATTTTGGCCCATGCGTGATGTAACCCAGGGTGCTGCAGGGAAGCGGTGACACCCCCAGCGGAGCACCACCGTCCCCACTGGCCGCAGCACCAGTTATTAGGGGGAGGAGAGCGCAGCAGGCATCGGATGCGATCGCATTTGTTTTGGGGGATGGAGGCCGTTATCATTATCCTGGAGGAGCTGGGCGGCGAGCGGCATCTCGGGTGAGAGGCAGCTGCACGTTGGAGCTGGCCCCCAGCGTGACGCTGTCGTGCCATTTGGAAATCTTCCCGGAGCTCGGAGGCAGGCGCGGACTGAATTTCATCCTGTAGCGTCAGGGCTGGGGGAAGGGACCCGAAACCGCGTGGCAAAAGATGTGAGGACGGGGTGCTGGTGGCTTGTTTTGGCTGAGCGCGTTGGGATCGCCGTGCGCATCACCTGGCTGGGAAGTGGGGTCCTGGGATGACCTTACTGGTACCCAGAGAGCTGGTGCTGGTGCTCCCAGTCTCCTGGAGGTGCGTCCCCATCTCTCTGTCTCTCCCATTCCTCCTTGCAGGGAGGAGAGCACTCAGATGAGCCAAATCCTGCTCTTTCTCTGCATGGGCTCTGCAAAGCAGAGTTTGCTCTGCTGTCCGTGTTTCAGGAGCGGTGCGGTCTCGGGGACGGAGGACTTGGCAGCCAAGGTGCAGGGCTTTTGGCACAGGGTCACCGGTGGCTCCAAGAGCCTCGGCTTTTCGGCTGACCCAGCAGCATCTTGCTTGTCCCTCAATTCCATCACTAGAGCAGCTTCCTTTCCCTGTTCGCAGCTGATGAGCCCCAGCATCTCACTTCTTAATAACCCTCGTTATGCCACCCTAAGGTTGTGTTTGTCGGCTGCAGCTCGGGGAGCTGCTCCCCTTTCCTCTCCCTGGGTAGGGACCAGCCTTGCAGCTATGCCGGAATTTGAAAGAGCCGCAGAAAATCACAGCCATAAGCCACCGTGAGGGCTGAGCTGAACAAGTCCAGGCACCGGGAGGCAATTAGGAAGGGATGGTGGGAATGAGCCGGGGAGGTCACGGCAGCCAGACATGGCTAAGGGTTAACGTGGCTTAATTTTCAAGCTGTCCCTTGAAAATGAGAGGGCAAAGGGGCACGGACTGTGTGTTTCCTTTTAGCATAAGAGTGTTAGGGTTCAGTGCATCTCGCTTGTGCAAACTTGTAGATGGGACATCCTGGTCGGGGAGTGGAGCGAGAGCAGCTCCTGGCTCTGGGGTGGGGGCAGATGGGGAATTTAGGCACAGCAGAATGTGGGGCAGTGATTTATGGCACCAGCAGGAATACTGCTACCACGCTCTTTCTTTGAGGTTGAGTTTTTGGGCACTGGCAGAGATTCGGTCTGCACCCACGTGGACCTTTGGTCTCACCCAGCACTTCCATCCTGGGTGGACTTAAACCTTTCTGTGGGTCCAGTCCTAAACACCCGAGGAGGGAAGAGCAAGGCACTTGATGCCAATCATGCAGGAGTGCTCCCCAGAGCAGTATTTTGGGATGAAAAGGGGCAGAGAAGGTCTCTTCCCCCTCCTCGGAGCAATGTGTGGGGCCGGAGGGAAGTTGCTCAAGACCAGTAGGAGAAGTCAGGGTTTCACCTCAACCGGGGACTGGAGATGCAGGTTTGGATGGGGAGAGGGGCCAGACCCTTGGCTCTAGGTCTACCTCCATGCAGCAACTGCCTCCTCTGCTGCTTTGGTCTCTCCAGCGTGGAGGACGGGCTTGCGTGTTGCGGCAGCATGAGCACGAAAAGCCTCTCTGCAGCGATGCACAAATCACCCAGCCTCCGGCCAGGCTGCTGCTATGCAATTAAAAGCTTTTGCCAGTGAGAGGCTTAATTAACTCTGGCTTTCTAGGGTTACACCCACATGTGTATGTTTTTCAGCCAGGTCTTTCTGTTAGATTAGCTGGAGTTTGGCCCCAGCTGCAAGAAATTCCTTGTGGGACTTGCCTGGGTCGTGGCAGCGTTTTGCTTGGCTGGTGGTTCTGGCCGGGTGGGAGAGATACAAAGTGTGTGACTGAAGCGTTTCTGTGGGTGGAAGGTGAATGTGGTGGGGATGGAGTATTTTAGGGTTTTGAAAACCATAAACCACCAATGATGGTGATCCCACCTCGCCCTGGACAGCCTGGACCAGGGCTTATAGTGGAGTAAGGTCTTGGTCTGAGCCCTGGCCATCCTACCCATCTTCTGTCCGGCCTCTACTAAATATCTCCTTCCCCCTTAGTCCTTCATGTCTTTAGATAGTCAACACCCCAGCCCTACAGTTTTCAGAGTGTTTGAAGGTATCTAGTGGAAGGGAACGGATTTTGGGTGGAACTACATGCTAGGAGAAAACTGGTAGGAAGACTCAGGTGATTAATAACATTTGTCTAGCTTTCTCTTACAAAGCACTAACAAGACTTTTCCTTGCCCATCCTGCTCTCCGTGCTGGTTATGAGACCACCTGCAGGAAGATGTTAGCCTCTTCAATCTTGAGCCAGTTTTGAGTTATTAGGGTGACAAAGCCGCTCCTGGAAATACATGGCTCTTACTTTCATGGCACCCAATGGTTTTTAATAGGCTCAGTTAAAAAACAAGCCCCATTTTCCCCTTCAGCTGTTGTTTTGTGGCAGTGGGAGGTTTTGGGGGTTTGAAACAGATAGCCTTGGGAAAAGCCGTAACCCACTGACCTCAAGGGGATGCAGCTAACGTGCATGAAGCACCCTGCCGCTGACGGCTGCGGGAAGGAGTTAACCAGGGTCACCAACCTGTTATTTTTTTTTTTTCCCCCAGCTGATAAGAAAAAGGAAGTTGATATTTGTGTTCCTGCAACAGCCTCGTTAAATAGGAAAATAACAAATGGAAAAATAACGCGTTTCCAAAGGTAGCCCTCTTTCCTGAAGCTACAAAATAATCCCTTGGGCTACCTCTTCTCCTGCCACACAAGAGCAAGTGTTGCTCATCTATTTTGTAGGAATGTGGCTTTTCCCTGGTGAACGGGCTCACCACACACCCTGGCAACACCCTGGCACCACTTGGAGATGGGCGCTATCTGCTATAAAAAATTGGTGGTGGGATGGGTCTAACTGGGGAGCGAATGGTCTGTGCTGGCCGTTGCCCTTTGTGCTGGGCCCCACGGTTTCCTTTGCCCTGTCTCTTCCCGTTCGTCAAACCCCAGCCTTGAGCTAGATGCACTTAGATCTCCTTTTTTTGTTGGCTTTTTTTTGTACCTGATGTAAAGTTTAATGAGATTCATGGGGTTCCCAGCCCAATGTTGTTCGCTCTTTCCTCCACCCCCTGAGTCCAGGGCAGCTCCTCCAGCTGCTTCTTCCTACAGGGCTTCATCAGCAGGACCAAACTCTTCCATCGCTTGCAGGACTGCAAACACACGCAAGTGATGGTGTGCTCTTGGGTCGCTCTGGATTTACCCTACAGTAACTGAAAACTGACACTAAACTGTGGCCCTTGCAGCTGGAGTAACTCCCTTTGCTCTTGCAGGAGTCTCTGGACTTACGGCCACCAACCACCAGAGGAGAAGCCCCCCCTGGGTACCTGCATATATATGTCCATGTTTGGCTCATCCCATTGATGAAAAGATGAACCCTGGATGGGTTCACCGACCCATTTTGCACCTCTGTCTTAGGACAAGGTGAGCTGTGTCCTGCCAGCATCCGTTTCCTCCAAGGCAGGCATGGCCTTGGTGGCCAACGTTGGGGCAGAAATCCACCTTGGATGAGGTTGGTCCCACCTGGATGACTGCAGGGAGGGCTCTGGACTCACTGGTATGAGGTTGGTGGGATTCATGCAGGTTTCCTCCCAAAGGCAGAGCTGCAGCTCTGCTTGGGGAGGGTACGTGGGTGAGGGTCATCGGTGCCAGGTGCCCGAATTTCTCTAAAGCAAACCCTGGGACCCTGTTTGTACAAAACACGGTCCTGCCCCTGTGTGCTTGGGTGAGCAGTGGCTTGTGGATGCCTTCCTCAGACAGCACAAGCCACTGAGGTTTTGTATCTAGAATTTGCAACTGTGCGGGAATGAGAAATGAGAATTCCCGCTGATGCTGGCACCACGGGGGTTGTTAGCATCCTCCGGCATTTATTTCAGCCGGCCACCTCGACAATCTCATTATTATCTGCACGCAACAGATAAATGAGCATTTCCACGTAGTCAAAGCAAGTATTGATTAAGGCCCGGCAACTAGCTGATCAATGCGGTGCTGTTTTTCCCCGGTTGGACGTGTAGGGCTGCTCAGCTGGAAGCTGTCCCAAGCGCTCGGGGACTTTGCCCGTCATTAACAGTCATATGCACTCAGACAATAAGGGCCTATTATATTGTCTTAATGCGGGGCCAATCTGGGAATTAATCAGGATATTTGGAAGCACCTTAGCTGCTCGCGCTGATACAAGGTCCTGAGTTTCTTCTCCTAATCTCCCCCAGGCAACCAGGATCTCCCACAGGTCCCCATGCTGGATAATGTGCATAAGCTGGTTACAGTGAATTTGCATGAATAAGCAGGCAATTCTGCTCAGGCTGAATGCAACTTCATTAAAGCCCGGCAATAATTTGAGCTTGCTTATTGCGTGTCCTTTGAAGCCTACAAAGGAAGATTTTGAGCAACAATTGACTTTGTGTTTGGGGTCATGGAGACCGCTCCAGCTCCCAGGCAGAATTCGCCTCTCTAGAAATGTCTTTTCCTCTTTGCTTCCCTCTGCAATCACTCTGTTAAGGTGAATAATTATTGTGGAAAGTTTTATTTGTGGAAAAATGTTAACCTTGCTCACAGGTGAGATAACAAACAGCTGGCTGGCTGCAGAGCGGCACGCAAAGAATTGATGGGAGCTCCCCGCCTGGGAACTCAGCGCAATGGGTCTGCCCAACAAAATCCAAGCCTGGAAATCCAATTGAGCTGGGGTGGATCTCTGCTGTTGGGCAATTGCTGCGGGGGAGCCGGTGGGATTGGGGTGGTGGTGGGCATGGGGCTAAAGGGACGTGGGAGGTGGAAATGGGGCAGGGAGTATTTGGGATGCAGGGGATGAGCAACCGTGCTTGGGTGGGAGCTGAAGGGGAGCAGGTAGGACAGGGAGGTGCCTGGAAAAGCTTTCCTACCTTGCGCTATGCAATCATGAAAATGAGCTATGCAATCACAAAAAATAAGTGGCTTTTTGGAAGCGAGAGAGGCGAGGCAGGGAGGGTGTCCTTGAGGGGGTGGAGGGTGCAGCG